AGACTATGATGAACGAGCAACCTTCAAATCCTGAGTACAGAGCGTAGCCAAAGAATTCGTCTACCTACAAAAGAAACTCCCTAGTTATTGATGATTCGTTCAGATACAAATCCTCCACGCGTTCATGCAAGCAGTGGTCCCAGACATACGTGAGTAAATTCCCTGGTTTATTTAGAGGTCTTTTTTTTTTATCAGTAATCTGCTTAGACATATGAAAATGATGAATGTTGGTCTAGCGTGGGGATATTAATATTTACTGAACAGTATAAATGAAATGTATGCCTAAATTAGGAATGTAAATTTGTATTCATAATTAAGCCATCATAAAAAGTTTTAAGTTTAATGCTGTTGAAAGAATGTTTTTAATTATATCATCGATTTTTGTAAAAAAATCATGAAGAATTGAAGGTGTAATAACTGATGAAGTAAACTGAATGAAAACATTATGCAATTAAAATCAATATAAAAGTAATATTTATGGAAAATAATTTTCTATATTTTAAATATAATTAATTGTTTCGCTTTTAAATTAAATTCTTAAATTTGTACAAATATGTAAGTTAATTTTGGAACACATATACTTTTAATTTTATATCACACTTATTAAACAGCGAAACTTTTAAAAATTCTAACACTGTTTATGAATTGCTTGTGTACAACTGTTTTTAATTTTAGATTTGATCATGAAGGAGGAAGAGAACTTAGAGGTAAGAGGATTTTAAAAAGAAATAAAACTTGAAACATTTGTTCAAAAGCTATATTCCATTCTTCAATTGGTAAAATATAATAAATACACTTAGTTGATTAACAAACAGAATACGTGTAGATCTAGTTTATACGTAATGTGAATTGCTTTATAAAATAAAAAACATAATTTAAAGAAGGAGATGATGTAAATGGAACAAAAATAAGACAAAAATGAGTTACAAAATTTTAAAATCTTATATACCTGACGTAAACTAAATTAGTAGTTTAGCAAGTTGGTACCTAAATCTATCTATCATATATAAAACCACTTGCTTTACGATGTCATTTACCATCGATTATTGCTGAAAAGTCTGAAGGATATTGAAAATATAAATATCTTCACAAATAAAAAGAGTTGATGACTATAGACTCAATCATAAAAATCAATCATCAATGTGTATAGTTTATACCTATACCCAGTTACATACATATATATTATTTATTACATATATATATATACGCAATTTTAATCTTGACTTCGTTATAAAGGTTTCATTTAAACAGTTAAGAATGAAATTTCTCATAAAACGTCAGAAGGAATCAAATTTTGAATTAAACAAGAAAGCAAGTATACTTTGTATTTAACCAATCATCAGAATAAATATAAAATTTACAATTCTACTATATATAGTTTCAAATAGACTAACTCATAAATATTTAGCAAAATTAAAAATTATTTAAAAACATATTTGCAGAAGCATTTGCTGCTTTACATAAGGCAATAATTTCTAAAAATCTGCTATTTTTACTTTTTCGCTTGATGTATGATAAGAATGCAGTGTAAATTTTGATACAAAATAAACTAATCTTGTAATAAAATTAATATTATATAGATTATTTATATATATGTTCAATTTAATAAAAAATATATAATTTTGTTACAAAAACTTAATGTATCATTTAAAATCTAAATATAACTCAAATATAATAATATGACATTTTACAATAAAAGTTCGTTTTGATAATGTTGACACTTAGAAACTGAAATGAAGAACATTTCCAAATTTTCACACATTTTCCAAATAATTTTTTTAAAAATAAATTTGTTTTTAATTTTGTATATATTGTACAAGGCTTGTATAATGAAAAAAAAAATGTTGTTTTTTTTTTAAATTCTTTAGAAATACCATTATTTCGAATGTGTTTCTGATTCTGAAATACGTGCATTATTGTTTTAATTATAATAATAAAAATGGTCTGTACAAGTTTCACTTTCATATTAAAAAAAAGGCTGTAATTGCAAAGTTAATATAAATATTATAATGTTACAAGAGATGGGTAAAATGTGAATTATACTAGAGGAAATTAATTGCAATATATTATATTCAATATCTTAGTTTTTATGCATTCATTTCAAGTAAAATATTTTAGAAATACTGTTTAGTTAAATTAATTAAGTAAGTAACTCACATTTGATTTATTTCGCTCATAAATTTGATTGCCTAATTATTTAATCAATTTTGACAAGGAATGTAGTCTACATACTTAACATGATTAAATATTTAAAATTATTGATCTACCCTATACACCAGAACCTGGATATGGCAAGTATTAATAGTGCAGTGGAAATAAATTGACTCAATTTTTCATTTTCATTAACACATAAAAAAATCAATATAATTTTTTTTTTTTTCAATTAGTTTTTCATTTAAATTATTTTATCTATTGGGCTAACGTAATTAATGGACACATTTCAAAGGATTGTGAAGTACAGATAAAGGACAATTATTAATATAAGTTTAATAATATATCAAGAGTGATTAATGCATACATGCATATTGAAATAATTATAAAAATATTTTAAAATAAATTAGAATTTCGATACAATATTTCATAGTTTATACATAATTTTTAAATATTTATATATTATTCTGATATATTAAATCATTAAAAAATTTTAAACTGTTTTTAATACTGTCATTAATTACAGTATAAAAATACTTAAAAAAATTTTATACATTCTTAATTTATGTTACATGTTTATTATTAGAAAAGTTATATAAAAATTAGAATTAAAATATTTCGTTTACTTTTCGAACTTTATTGAATTGCACTAAGAAAGTCCATTAATTTATTTATGTATATAATTTTTATTATTTATAAGGACACATTGATATAAGCCAAAATGGGTTAATCCTTTTAAATTCATTTATTTATTACTTTTGAAACTCTATTTAAAGACTATTTAAAAGAATTAATAAACTTGTTAAATAGACTGTGACTAAAGTGGGATTTTTTTACATAAAAAGTAGCTCAATAACATATGAAAACAGATAGTGCCACATAATGGAGAAATTTATGTGTAGGTAAAAAATATATTTGGAAGTATAAAAAAATAATAGAGATAAAATTCTGACCAAAAACTGATATTAATCTCAAAATTGAAAAAAATGCTGCGCCTTTACGTTTGTAAAAATGTATTTTAACTGAAGGCAACGTACACCAAAAATTAAACGTTTAAAAATTAAATATTTGAAATTTTAGGTTAGAGAACCCCTCCTGGTTTCTTCAGTTCAAGTTCTATATTTGTACTGTCATAAGTGTAATGTTTATTGTCAAATGTATTCTATTTTTTATAAACTTTAATTTTAGTTTGTATGAAATTCCTCCTTTCTGTAGAAAACACTGTGGAAACATACTTCTAGCAAATCAATTTTAGTTTGAAAAAAAATACCGTAATTGTTTTGTAACCAGTTGTTGATATAATTGTTAACTAGTAGTTGTAACCTCTTTAATTCTTTAGTTCAGATTTTTATATTTTTGTTACCATAAATATGTAATGTTTATAATGTATTCTTTTTTATGTAATCAAATATTATAATCAAATATTTTTGATAAAAAAAATGCCAGTAATTGTTTTTCAAAAACACTATTCATTTTTCAATATAGACTTTGATTATAAAATAAAATATGTTTTTCAAAATTTTGCTTTTTAGGAAAATAAAAAGTTATTTTTCAAATGGTTGTTTTACAATTAAACTAATTTTTTTGACAAAATTTAACAAGTTTATCAGTGCTTTTTAATGGTCTTTTAAATAGAGTTTGAAAAGTATTAAATAAATAAATTTAAAGGACGTGACCCATTTAGCTCACATCAACAATAATCCTTATTTCCTTATATATAATGAAAATTACGTATAAAAATAAATGAATATGCTTAAATTCAATAAAGATTAAAATTTGCCATTTCTATTTGGTGTACGTTGCCTTCAGTTAAAATACATTTTTATAAACGTAAAGGGTGCTGCTTTTTTTTTTCTTTTTGAGATTAATATCCAGTTTTTTGGTCAGAATTTTATCCCTATTAATTTTTTATACTTCCAAATATATTCTTCCCCAACACATAAATTTCTCCACTGCGGCACTATCTGTTTCATATGTTATTGAGCTACTTTTTATGTAAAAAAATTACACTTTAGTTACAGTCTATTTAATGTTTATTAGTACTTTTAAATAATCTTTAAATAGAGTTTCAAAAGTATGAAATAAAGGAATTTTAAAAGGTTTAACTCATTAATGATCATAATAAAAGTAGTCCTTTCTTTATATATAAAAATTACGTATATAAACGTAAAATGAATGGGCTTAAATTCAATAAAGTTCAAAGTTTCACCAATTATATTTGGTGTACGTTGACTTCAGTTAAAATACATTATTACAAACTTAAAAGCCAGTATTTTATTTTTCAGTTTTTTAGATTAATATCAGTTTTGTCTATTATTTTTTATACTTTCCAATTATATCCTCTCAGCTACGTATAAATTTACTCTTCCTGTGGCACTATCTGTGTTGTATGTTATTGTGCCTCTTAAATTAAATTAATTTAATTTGAAAAGATACTATACTTGTTTTGTTACCAGTTGTTGTTGAATTGTAACATCTTTGACTCTTCAATTCAGGTTTTTATATTTTTACTACCACAAATGCAATGTTTATAATCAAAATGTATTTATTTTTGATAAAAAAAATACCATCAATTGTTTTTTTGATGGTATTTTTGATTACAAAATAACTATGATTTCAAATTTTACTTTTTTTTTTTTGCAAAAAAATGATTCATGAAATGGTTACTTTACATTTAAAATTAACTTTTTTGGCAACATTTAATAAATTTATTTTTTTTTAAAGAGTCTTCAAATAGAGTTTTCAAAAGTAATAAATAAATGAATTTAAACGGCATAACCGGGGTCAACAGTAATATCCCTTTCCTTATTTATAAATAATAAAAATTATGTATATAAATATATACAGCCAACGGCCATACCTGCATGCTGAATATACGGGTTCTCGTTAGATCACCAAATTAAGCATCATAGGGTGCGGTCAGTTTTTGGGTGGGTGACCACCTAGGGAACCGCGTGCCGTTGGCATTCACAAATTTGGGACCTGAATGGCCGAGTGTCTAGCGCTCTGGCGCTCGGTGCCACAGGTTTCAGGTTCAGAATCCGGCGGTGCCATTGATGTTTGTAGTGGTTCGGAATCCACTTTAAGCCATAGGTCCCGGTCTCCTATGATTGTAAGAGCGTCACGGGCCAGTCAAGTCAGACTTCTACCTACGGGTGTTCATCACAACAGAAGCTGCTTCCTTCCCCTTCAATCATGAGTACGCATGGGGCTCGTGGGCTTGGGCAGCCAAGTGGGATAAGAAACAACAACATAAATATATGGATGGCCTTACAAACTTATTGAAATTCAATAAAGGTTCAAAGTTTTCCCCCAACCACTATAGTTGTTGCACGTTGCTTTCAGTTAAAATATATTATTACAAACGTAAAATCCAGCATTTTCTTTTTCTTCTGCTTGTCTTTCAATTTTTTGAGATTAATATCTTTTTTGGTCAGAATTTTATCCCATTATTTTTTTATGCTTCCAAGTATATCCTTTCACCTACACATAAATTTCCCCATCCCGTGGCACTATCTGTTTTATATGTTATTGTGCCTCTTTTATAAAAAGTCACACTTTTTAACTCACTTTTATCGTCCTCTTTTACTATCAGCTTGGCCTCAAGTTTATGATTTCAAAGTTACCGTCATCTTTTAAAGGGAAGAGATTTTTACTTCTAACACTAGCTAAAAGCTTTGACTTGATACTGTCCCAGAAAGCAATTCAGGTAAGTAAGGATCTCGCTCCACGATTCTTTCCCAACTCTTTTTCTTTTCCCTCTAAAAAAGATGAAGAAGGAATTTTACGAACTTTTCCATCAATAACTGCGAAAAAGAAAATAGTTTTTTTTTTTTCCCGTCTCTCACAGTTTTCACTTGGTTGTTTAGTGCTTTAGAGTCGACTGGTTTATGTATGTTTGACAGCAAGTCGTTTATCATACACTTTTAAGCTCATTGCTTTTGGTGTCCTTATGAGGAAAATTATTTTACATAATGCATTTTTTCTGAGAGCGTGTGTTTTGATATTTTTGTTCAGGAAATGGACAAAGGCTTTAATGGAATTTTTCTGGATAATGGGGGAACTGTTTATTGTCAGATTTGAAAAGGTTAGGCGGCAATTAAAAAGAAGTTTTGCGAGTACCAACAGCGTTTGACGTTGCATTATCTTTTTTGAAATATGATTTATGTGTTATAAATATCAAATGCTTGTGATTGCATAGCATTATTATCTGTTTATATTTATAACCCATAAATATCAAGTGCTTATTATTATATATAAATGTATAATTTGTGTCTTTTTATATTAATTAATGGAATTTTGTTGTGGGCTTACTGACTCTAAAAATGTGCATATATCCAAATACATTACCATTATATATTTGAAATTTGCTTATTTTTCATCGTCTAGCACGGTTTAGAAAAATTAACAATAAGAATAATAAATGACATTTTTCTATGTAATTAAAAACATATTTATGTAATAAGATGTATGTTGTCAGATCTATAAAGGTTATGTTGTCAGATTTGAAAAGGTTATGCTGCAATTAAAAAAAAAAAGTCTTGTGAGTACCAACAACGTTTGACGTTGCATTATCTTTTTGAATTATGATTTATGTGTTATAAATATTAAGTGCTTATGATTGCTTAGTATCATTATCACTTAATATTTATAACCCTTAAATATCAAGTGTTTATTATTATATATAAATGTATAATTTATGTCTTTAAATTTAATTAATTGAATTTTTCTGTGGGTTATCTGATTCTTAAAATTTATATATCTCCATGGGAAACATATATCCAGATATTTTTAAATTATCATAATATATTCGAAACTTGCTTATTTTTACTCAACTAACACCGTTCTTAAAATTAACAATAAAAATAATAAACGATATTTTCTATATAATTAAAAGAATATTTATGTAATAATATATATGTTGTCAGATTTATAAAGGTTATGTTGTCAGATTTGAAAAGTTATGCTGCAATTAAAAGTAGTCTAGCGAGTTCCACAACGTTTGACACTGCACAATCTTTTGAAGTATGATTTATGTGTTACAAATATCGAGTGCTTATCATTATCTTAATATTTATAAACCATAAATATCAAGTGCTTTTTATTAAATGGTGTATAATTTGTGTCTTAAAAATTAATTAATGGAATTTGTCTGTAGGTTTGCTGACTCTTAAAATATGCATATCTTCATGGCATACATATATTCATATATTTTAAATTACTATGATATATTTAAAACTTGTTTATTATTCATCGTCTTACAGAGTTTAGAAAATTATTACTAAGAATAAAAAATGACATTTTTTATGTATAATTAAAAAACATATTTATGTAATAAAACATTCAAATGTATTAATTTTTAATAATATTTAAGAAAATTGGGAACTTTTTGCTCATATTAATTCATCGTAATTCATTAAATCAAACGTATAACTTTTATAATTAGTGAAAATTTATTCTTGAACGATATTTTGAAATAATTACATAACATATAATATATTTCATAATATAATATATAATATATTTTATATTGAAATTATAGTTAAAAATCCTGCAATACTTTTAAAAGGGGAAATTACTTTTTTTTTCGTGAGGGCCAAGTTGGGTTTCAACTCTAGTAAATCTGATTTGAAGCCTCAAAAAGATTCCGCGATATCCTGACTATATCCTGGATGTTCCAGAATTTCCTGTCCGTATGCCAGACCCTTATGACAGAATATCCTGCCGATGAGCTCTGAAGGGGGAGATGGTAATTACATATATACCTTTCCTTGGGTTGTTCATTCAAAATTGTGATGGCAAAATATGTGTGGAACGCAGCAAGGCCCCTTTGATTAATCTTAGACTATTCTGAATCTGCTGCAATATAATAATATATGTTGCCAAAATATAATGATATATAATTTCATTTGATTCAAACTTCAGCCAGTTCAAAATTTAACTATTTTATATAATTGTTTCTGAACAAATGGTGTATATTTTGTAATTAATATTGTTATTTAGATTTATTGTCTTTAAAAAAATGAATAAGTTGAGTTAAATTCATAAATCGTTATAGTTGTTAAAACCTAACCGAATTTAATTAATTAGCTTATCAGATCCAAATATTTAATATAAAATAAAAAAATGCTTTAAAATTATTAATATTATTTCTAATAGCACTAATATGAAAATGTTTATATGAAATATATATTACTTAAAACATTATATGCACTTAGTTTACCTCTTTTAGGGAGAAGTTTAGTTAATATATCTACATGGCAATTTTGTATAGAAATTTTCATTACACATTTTAACATAATATTATAATTAAATGTATTTTCTTTAAAAGAAGAAAAATTTGAATTAAATCAAAATAAATTCAGGAATTATTTTTAATATGCATAAATTCACCAAAAAATTCTCCTTTTAAGTTTACTGGTACATTCTGTATTGCATCTGATATAAATCTTTGCTTGCATAACATATTGTTAAAAATTTGGAATAAAGTAAATTAAAATTGATCATGAATTGCTTATATATTAAACCCATACTATTTATTTCAGAAATGGTAATAAATAAATATTTGATACCTTTAAAATATTAATAAACATAAGGAGCTTTTTAACCAATCAAACGCTCATGTTAACTATTCATAAATGCTGTTTTTAAATGAAGTGTTTAACAGTGAAACGTGTTGCTAAATCTAACGATTCCTCCATACCAACTAACGTGCTCTGTAACTCAATTTGAGTTGTCTGTCTTTCAAATATAAACATATTATTATTGTGTTGTAATTGTTGTCTAACAATCAGATTCTGTTTAAAAATGTTAATTTAACCATCCATAAACAAGCTTCTCTGGCATAATTTGGTAGGGCTTCTCGCTGTATTCTGACAAATTGCTTCATTTTGCATACTATTATTGATATTATCATTATATATATATTATTTTATTGTTGTTATTATTATTTATTTATTTATTTTTATTTATATTGAACACTAATATATGTCCATATGCGTACTCCTGGTGTCAGTTAAGTATGTTCACACATGATAAATTAAAATTGGTAAGCTGAATTCAGTTTTTTTTTTTTTTAAATTAAAATCAACAATACCGTTTTTAATCTAAGTTACCAAAAATATTCTTTATAATTAAAATATTTAAAAACGTTCAATGCAATTGTTGATTTTATAATGTAAGATAAAAATTTAATTAAATATTTTCAAATAAACTCATTTTTGTGAATACAAATATCAAATACAAGTTTTCCATTTCAATTTTAGAAATCAGAATTTAACAATTGAGCAATTTAATGGAGACACAAAAGTATTAATTTTATTTTTCTACCTTTAAAAAAAACTTAAAACTGATTTTTAACTAAAAATATGATTACAATTCGTTAACATTATTCTATTTATTAGCATATTTGAAGAAACAGAAAGTCATTTTTAAATAAAAACAATTTCGTATTTAAATTTTTTTTATTTCCTACTCAAATCCTTGCCTTCTCTAAATTATCTAAAATAATAATTTATTAAAAAATATATTTTATTATTTAAATCATTGTAAACTGTACATAATTTTTATAATCAAAACGATTTCTTTACAATTGAGTAATTTAATTGAGACAGAAAAGTAATGATTTTATTTTCTATCTTTAAAGTTACTAAAGTGATTTTTAACTAAATATATCATTACATTTTATTAATATTATTTTTTAAAACATATTTGAAGAAACAGAAAGTCATTTTTAAATAAAAACTATTTCGTAATTATTATTTTTTTGCTTCCTACTTAAATCTTTGCTTTATCTTAACTATCTAAAATAATTATTTATTAATAAATGTCCTTTTATTTAAGTCAATGTAAATTGTACATAATTTTCATAAACAACTTTTTAGCGACAAAAAAATCAATGCTTCTAATAAAAATCTCTAACTAAAAAATTAATCCGCAGTTGTTTATTAAAAAGAGATTTTA